AAGAGGGGATAAAGTGAAGGTAAATCTCTATCCTGGACAATGGATTTTCGACAATGGAGAACACCATCACAGCACATTCAGTGGACATCTGCTGTTCCCCATGTGAACCTGCAGACTGTTTATTCACCCAGAATAGCTTTTTACATGTACAACCCTTCAAAAAAAATCAATTGACTTAATGTAATCAAGTGGCAGTAAAATGTATATAATAAAATCAACACAAATATTCTTCATATGGCTTAGTTTAAGGCAATATTATCATTAGTGCAAAATGCTTCATGCATGTAAAATAAAATGAAAATGTACAGAATGCAACATTACAACCGATGGAAAAAAGATTCAAGATTACGAATGTACAAATAATGACATGCAACAAGTGACTGTGTCCTTTGACTGATGTTCAGGAAATCAACTTTTCCAAGTCAGGAAGTACAGTTGACCCTGCGTATCACCGCAAACAAATTCCTTGGGGTTACATGGGTTCACCTCCAGAACCTTGACAGGGCCTCCACACACAAACATGCCCACCTGTGAAATACAGAAAATGAGTAAGAAACAGAAAGGAAATTAAATAAACACTGGTATACACACAGTGCATAAAAGCAAGAATAAAAATACCTGTTTCTTAGTTCGTCTGTCCCACAGTTTGACGGTTCTGTCATGAGACGCTGAGATGATGAGGCTCTCTGTAAGCTGCAGTACACTCACTTTGTCTGTGTGTGCCTACAGACCAGTCACACAAACAATTTATCAGCATCGCATGACTGCATGATTGACATATGATCATTATATCAGTGAGAGAATATGAAGATACTTGCCGGTCTTCTTTGAGTCCAGGTGGACAGATTAGGAGGCTGATTGAACCACATGTTCCCTTTATAATCACCACACACAAAAAAGTCTGTAGAAAAAAACCAACATTACTTAAAAACATCCAAATTGCAATGTGTTATTATTAGTCATAAACAGTTCACATAATGACCACTATAGGTTAATGGGTTATTGTTTGTTTGTTTTTTTGGTAGTGTTAAAGCCACCATGCAATCAAAATAGACAATTCTCTTTTTCATTACACAGTCCTGTATTCTGCTGATTTGCAAAAAAAGGCATAATATTACCTAATTTGATGTTGCGTTCAAAAAAAAAAGAAAAAATGAAAGAAAAAAACTTTGCATCACTTAGTTTTTTTTTTTTTTT